CGCGGCACGTGGTATCTTCCCGGACTGGGGCTTTAACCCGTGTCCCCTGCATCGGCAGGCGGACTCTTAACCACTGCGCCACCAGGGAAGTCCAACACACTGCTTTGATTACTGCAGCTTTGAGGTATAAGTTTTGATATTGGCAAGTGTGAGTCCTTCAACTTTGTTCTTCTTTTTCAATATTATTTGGGATGCCTCTTCTTGTATATACAATATTAATACATTAGACAACAGCAAAACGCAATGTGTTTTCATGGTTTAGCTTTATAATACATAAATGCTACCAATTTAAACTTTTATAAAAATAAATACTGATAAAAATAATTTTAAGAAAGAATATGAAAACGCTATAAATACAGAATACCTGTTAGAAAAAAAAAAAAGAACTGGGTAAGAACTCTACGTGTAGAGTTTGCTGCCACCGAAATTTTAAAAAGAATATACTTGTATATACATAGAGTAACCCTAGAAAAATATGCACGATAGTGCTAAAAGAACTTGGCTCCTGAGAAACTGGATTGCTGGGAGACAGGGATGGAAGGGAGATCTCCTTTCACTGACTACTCTTTTGTTCCTTTTGAATTTTTGTAAATTCTATATGCATACTGATTTAAAATTTTTAATTAATTGAAAAACCAAACTCTCCATTTAAACAGAGAATATAACATTACATCTTCATGTGGGTAAGAAAAACTTTGGGAAGAAAGATGGTGATGGGTTTGCAGGACGTGGCTTTCATCCCCTCCCTGGATTCCCTTGTAAGCTCTGGCACCTATGTGTGAAACAGCAGCCAGGGCTGAAGACGAAGCCAACGGGGGGCAGTAAGACAGTGCCTTCTCGATGTGCTGCTAATTGGGAGTTCATCAACCCAGGCGACATACGGTCACCTATTAAAATTATGAAGTTTGATTAAATGGTTTACTAACATTTTATTTTGCTTATTATTTATATTTCAACTCGTTTAGAGCAGATGGAGGGGGACGATCGGCTTTATTGATTAGCTAGGTCTAGCCCTGAATGTCAAGTGGAGAAAAAGATGAAATATGGCGCTATAGTAAATTTTTTTTTGTTATCTTGGAATTAGCTGCCTTTTAAAACGTTATCACGCTTAAGAATTTGTACATGGATAAATGAAAAAGTAATCCCTGATAAAATACAGAACATCTATTTCTTTTAGAACTTCTCTATGTGACAGGTGTCTCTTCTAGTCAATCAAAATGTAATTTCCCCATAATTATGCACAGAGTGAAAAGAACGTAGGAAATATTCAATATGCAGAGGCTTATCTCAGTGACTGACAGCTACTGTAGGAAATCCACATCTTATTCGCCTACAGAATGTAAATTAGAGACTGAGCTCGGTAAAAGGGCTTTGACTCCCTTAAAAAATAACAATTTACTCTCCATTAATCAAAGAGCCTATCATATAGCATAAGAAGATTATTTCAGTTTGCCTAAAATTAGAAATATTTCAGAAGAAAAATGGCCTGCTGAGTCGAGCATTAAAATATTCATGAAAAGAATATCTTCAAAGAGGTTAATAATTATAAATGCTGTGCTCAGTGTATGAATATACAGAACTCTAAGGAAAACTGTTCTGAGGTCTAGGAGGTGCTAGATTTTCAAGCTAAACAACGCCTTGAGGAAAGTCAAGTGAGATAGTGGATGCAAAGCCAAGACTGTTCTTCTTGCCGGTTAGTAATTACGGCTTCCCCTTCCTCCTTCCAAGTTTTTCCATTTCAGGAAACGGTACCACCTCCGCTGCCAGACACTGGGGGTCATCCGAGACTATTTCTGTCAGGTCTCGATTCATTCAGTCAGCAGGTACCAACTTCTGCTCGTCCTGAGTATTTTATGAAACCATCCCTTCCCCCCTTCTCCTTAGTTGGGCGCGTTTCTTCTCCCTGGACCGCAGCACGGCTCTTTCCTGGATCCATTTCCTGGCACGGAGGGCAGTGCGGTCTCCTCACTGAGCTCCTTTCCTTTGTTCCTGACCTATCCGTCTCTCGCCTTTAACTCCACGCCCTACCCTGCCGCCACAGTGACCCCAGACACACCTGACTGTTACTTTCTCTGCTTAAAATGCTACTGTCTATAGTATGTGTCCACTGCCACGGTGCTCCTTCCTGACACGGCGCGCACGTCTGAGCCCCGCCACTGGATGTCTTTCACTTTAGACTCCAGCGTTAACGCGCTCTGTGCTTTTCGTTCAACTTGCGATTTCCAACTCATTTTCTGAGGCTCGTCTCAGGTGGCCTCTCCAGCTTCCTGGATCCTCACGTGGGGCTGAGAGACCCTCATCCTCTCATAGCGCCCTGACCGTATTACAGCATTTATCATGTTTTACCAAATTGCTTTGTATGTGTATTTGAATCCCTCACTAAATGATAAGTTCCAAGAGCACAAGAACCATGTCTAAGTATTTTTGTGGCATCCTACGCCTTCATACAGGCCTTGGAACACAGTGGTTGGTCAAGGAATTGACCTGAAAGGAGCTGCTATATGATAGGCAGATTATATAAGTGGAATATATAATTCAATTTAAATGCATTTGGGTTATGACAAAAAATGTATACAATAAAAAACTAGAAAGCTGCTTAAAATATGAACTTAACTTAAAATCTTCAATCTGCTATGTTTGGGGAAAAATTTCTTATTCCAGGTGGTTATTTGCTGAGAAGAGTTAATTGTTACTTATTTATATTTTGTGTCATTCTTAGAAGGATTTAAGATAGTAGGGAAATAAATCAAGATGGTATGAGCTCAAATTCAAAAAAGGTCTCTTGTAAACAACTATGTAAATATATTTACTTCCTCCCTATAAAACATTCAATAATGGTAACTTATGAACTTTGTAATTCCATCAACGGGCTTTTTCTTTTTTGTCCCTATGAACTGTGACCTTTAAAATATATATATTGAAGACCTTCATCAGAGCAGCAAAATCTAAAAAAAGGCTTAAAAAACACCTATGTTTATAAAAATAACCATTTTAGTTAAAGATGCTCCCTGCCAGAATATACCAGGAAAAGGTTTTTTTTTTATTATTTTAAATGCAACCAAAATTTTCACAATGCTTTAAAAGAGTTAAAGTTGAAATGGAAGAAAAATCAATTTAATTTAGAGGATGGAATAGAATAGGCAGCATGCCAGGAAATTATAACTGGCAGTGATTTCACTCATGCCTGTTCATCACTCAGTGTTTGACTCCACAGTATCACTGTTCGGTCACTGCTGAAGCATTAAAATACTGGTTGAATTGAATAGGGAAGCATGCAAACAAAATAACATATGATAGTACCAAAATACTGACCTCGAACATTTTCACATTGGGCTCTGGTCCTTCCTACTCAAAGTATGGTTGTGGGCTGACAGCGTTGCCATCACCTGGGACCTTGTGAGAAATGCAGACTCTCAGGCTCCACTACTGATCTACTCAACCAGAATCTGCATTTTTAACAAGATCCTCTGATGATATATAGGCATATTAAAGCTTGAGAAGCCCTGTTTTTGGTGACCCTGAAATTCTCCCATGCAAAGCTCTGGCCTGAAAATACAGAACCTTCTTGGCTGAAGCCTACCCCTAAGGATAAAACTAAGGATTGATTTCACAGCTGTCTTCCGTGTGTATCTGAAGCAAAAGAATTAAATACTTAGTTTAGTTCCAATAGCAAAATTATCACCTTATACACACACATAAAGTTGTATCTTTCCACTAATAATTATTTGGTCTCATTCTGGTGGGAGATCATTAGAGATCATAGTTTCATGCCCTTTATTTCACAGAAATAAATCTGAGATTTATTTGGAAGCCCATCAAAATTTCACAAGTTCCTTTTAGTCACTTATTCTACTATTTAATACTACCAGGAAGATTTTCCATTCATAAATGAAATTCCTAAATTTTCTCTCTTAATCCCATTTCTTATTCTTCCATTATGAGAGAGAACCACCAGCAACCCTTTCTTTAGAGCTCCTAGTTTTGCAGACTTGGTGATAACTCTAGAGGACGTGGATCAAAGTGGACAAAACTTGTGTTATGTGGCCCTAAAACAAAATCTCCAAAGTCACACAATATAATATGTGATCCTGGAGGACATAACATTAGCATAAATGGTATTAGAAACAAAAGAGCTTTTAAAAATAATTTCAGGGTATAATATAACCCAGCATAGAAGACACTGTATAAAGTAGTACTTTCCTCTTCAAAAAAATGGCCTTTTTAAAAAGACCTCATCTTAAAAGAGTGGGTCTTGATTAATGCGTTCTTCTCTAGGGCATCAATCCGAAAACTATTAAGATGTTGAGTTTGACCGAAGAAAGAATCGAGGTAATTTACCAAAGTTGACTCAGGTTTCACATGGGGAACATGGCAGCAGGGGCTCTTTCCCAAATGACCACATAGCAGTGAATAAGCATAATCCATGATGAAGGAAGCAGAGCATTTAGGTCAGGGTGAAGGGCAAAGTCTGAACAGTACGGTCACTCTAGAAATACACCCCAAACTAAAGACTAGAGATTTCAAAATCTTTACAAAGAAAAAAAAATCCCTCTACCTTTAAAGCCAAGTAAAACTTTACTTTAAAAATATGTATAATATGAAAGTCATACATTAAAATAATGACTATTACTGACTGGTGAAAGAGGCATTCCCCCATGGGCCCTGCACATCCCTACGTGTTCCTGTTGAGTGGGCAAAGAATGCAAAGTCTTAACCTCTCTTCACCTGGGCCACTTCTCAGGGCTGTGTTTGCAGCAAGTAACCTTGAGGGATGAGAGAAGCCTTCCGCCGAGAAACAGGCGCTCACTCCTTGCTATGACAGCAGTGACCTCCCCAGCTCCTAGAACACAACCCACTTCCTGTGTAGACATCTGCAGTGGGGCCTTTACATCGCCCTGGGTGATGTTAGCTTGTAAAGAGGGTGAAATCCAAGATCCTGCACGGTTCTCCACACGGACACTGAAAAAAAAACCGTTGCTACTATTGAGATTTTATCTTACCGGATCCAGGTTCTTAAACAGCAGGATGTCTTTGCAAGCTTCTTGCAATCGATTTCTTTGATCGTCAGTTTTGGGATGTATAATCTAAAAGGACACCAAATTAACAATTAGTCTACTCACCTTGCTCTTAAGGGATAAAATTTCCTAGCAGGATATTAGAAAGAAGAACGGTTAGTGCTGAGGTTCACTTTAGGTGACTAGACATTAACTACCAGCCTGCTAAACAGGGGAGAGTAATACAGTTCGTCTCAGGGAGGTGGTGTACATTCATCAATACAGTACTTGAAAGTTTTTCAAAGGAGTGTTTCCCCCAGGTTAGCAAGTTCATTCTGTGAGGGTCTGCATTGGCTAATCACTAAAGACACCAAGGCTCCAGCCAGCGGGAACATACAAAAGGACAACATGTTGTAACAGCTATGTTGAAAATCTACACACTGCCTTTATTCTGCTTAATACTCTTTAATACTGTTTCATACTCTTTACCATTGAACTTAATACTCTTTCAGGATGTAGCTCTTTCCTTCAAGACTTGATAAAGTCTCTAGAAGTGAGTAAATTCTTACCTGTATATTGCCTTAGATGTTAAATACATTTTTATGCACAATGTATATAAAATAACCACGCCCACGGAGATTGCTTTTCCACAGGGAGCAAGCAATCACGCGCTGTCACACCAAGGAGACTACGGATCTGAGGGAGAATGAATCCAACAGTCCTGGTGCGCTCATCTGAGAACGAGTTCAAAGAAAAGCAGTGTACTATTTGCTCGGAAACTTTCATTCCTGAGGGTGAAGGCCAACAGAACGCCTTCTGTAAGTGCGGCCGGCCAACTCTCTTGAGTCCCTTCCGACCAGCAGAAGGCTCACGGACTTGGCCCCGAAGGCCCATTCTTCTGCGAACGCGGGTACTGTGTAACTGTAAGATGAGTCTGCGAGGCAAGAGATGGTCCTAAAAGCAGAAGACATCGAGTTGGTCTCCTGGAGACCCATACACCACCTTTTCCTATCCTAACGTTGACACACAGAGTGACTGGAAGAGATGCTGAAGAGCAGGAGCCCCACCATCACAGCAACCAGGATCAGGCGGCGGTGAGCTCTGTGCCCGTGAATGCATCAAAAAGCGCGACGGGAAAGTAAAATCGGCATTTCAAACCCATCTCACATGGCTAAAAATCAGAGGCCCAAGAACAACTGAGGAAATGTACAGTATATGTGTACTATTTATGTGTGTACTGCTTATATACTATACACACACAAAAAGCAGTATACACAGTATACTGCTACATACTATTAGCCAGTGAGAGAGGACGTTGCTGCCGTTTTTCCTCTAAGGGTAAGGGATATGCAGACTTTTGTTTCCTATCCAATCAATATTCACCTCAACCTAGATTCTACGACGGCACGTGGGCCCAGAAAAAGCAGATCCTCCTGCCTAAGAACTCACTGCTATACAAAAAACTTTAAAAATTTGGATACGAACTAAATCATGCCAACCAAAATTCACACGTGCCTACTTCAAATAAGGAAGGCTAACACAATAAAACAAAAAGTTAGTTCTCACTTCACAAAAGCCATCTGGAACTCCGAACTGAAGCAATCATAAACGTTTGCCTGCTGAGCAGCTCTATCCTCAGAGAGAAAAGGTTGGGGATGGCGTGTCGCTGATGCTGAAATGACTTCCTAGGCCCAAGAGGGAGCCACCTCTGCCCGGGGTGCCACGTCAGCAAACCAAAGCTTAGATAACTCTCGTGTCCCTATAAATGCCCCGCTTTGCCAGAAACACAGTATATCCAGTCAGCCAATCCCCCAAAGCCAAGCCAAATCTGGGCTCTACGCTTACTTCCTTGTTCCTTACTCTTTATCCTATAAAAGCTTCCTACCCTCCACCCCATTTTGCAGCTCTCTGGACCCTTGGGAATGGAGACTGCCCACTTCGTGCAGTGTTAAATAATGTTTGTATCACTTAAACTGTCTTTTTAAATCATTTTTAACACCAGCTTGTACCTGCTTTACCCTTGTCATCAATTTGTCTTTCTCCCCTGACCCATTCACTTTGTATTAACACCTCACACAAAACCCCACCTTCTGCTTTGTGACCACCTAGAGGGGTGGGATAGGGAGAGTGGGAGGGAGACGCAAGAGGGAGGGGATGTGGGGATATATGTATACGTATAGCTGATTCACTTTGTTATACAGCAGAAATTAACACACCATTGTAAAGCAATTATACTCCAATAAAGATGTAAAAAATATATACATATATATAATGGAAAAGAATCTGAAAAAATTATATATATAATTGAATCACTTTGCTGTACACCTGAAACATTGTAAATCAACTATATGTCAATAAAAATTTTTTTAAAACCCACCTTTTTCCTCTTCTTTCTCTCTCCAGCTACTTCTCTTCTTATGAATTCATATGTCCAAATCTTGTTTCTCCATCCTGCCACCCCTACTATTGTCTACTGCTCTCCTCTTTGTTTCCCTTTTTCCTTTCTTCCGTCTACCTGCCATCACTCCTCAGTGCCCAGAGTCCGTTTTATCTATCATAGCCTCCACCCCCGGCCATGAAAATCCTGCTCTGCGTCCTGGAAAGCAAACAGTCAGAAATTGGGTGAATCTTTGAAGCTCTCGCTCCCCTGCCCTGTACCAACTGCTCAGAAGATGCTCTCCTACTTCTACAGACTCATTTCCTTCTGTTGGGTTTGGTGTGATCCGACATACAAGATCTGCATCTGGATAACTAAGGCCTCGGCAATGTGCCCGAATGTGATTTTTATTATACTGGAGGCCACTTTGTTTTTTATTAAAATTTATTTCTGATTTCAGGATAAAAATCTTATTGGTTAAACAAATACTGATGGAGCACTTACTATGTGCCGAGCACTGTTTTAAGGGCTTTAAAAATTTAAAAAGGGCTTTATTACTAGCTTTATCCTAGTAAGAGACCCCATGAAGCAGGTGAATGCTAAGTGAAATGAGTCAGACAGAGAAAGACAAATACCGTGTGATCTCTCAGGAGAAAAAAAGTAAGAAAATTAACTGGCCCAGGTAACTTCTTCCATGTCACACAGTTCAGAAGCTGTAGAGCTGGGATTCAGTGCAGCTGTAGGCTGGCCACAGAGTTCATTCTAGAAACCAGGGTCAGCAGACCATAGCCTGAAGGCCAAATTTCTTTCTGCATGACCCCTATGCTAAGAATGATTTTACATTTTTTAATGATTGGGGGAAAAAATCAAAAGAATGTTTCCTGACACATGAAAATTATATGAAATTCAAATGTCCAGAAATAAAGATTTCATGGGTCACAGCCACAGCCGTTCATTTATGTGTTGTCTATGTCTGTTTTCCTGCTATAACAGCAGAGCTGAATAGTTGTGACAGAAACAGCACGGCCCCCAGAGCCTAAAGTATTTATTCTCTGAAAATAGTAAAATTCCCCCCGAAAAAAGCTTTACAGGAAAAGTCTTTCAACTCCTGCCATAACCTCTGTTGCCTTTCAATTAAAAAAAAATTAGAAAAACAATAAGTAACACTGACTTACATGTTTTCTTTAAAGGAAACACCGTGCATCTATTTTGTTAAGCAAGGCAAGTCTGTACAAGATATTTTCATATCTGTCCAATCTATTCTCCACACAGAGGTGAAAGTAATCTTTTAAAACTTTAAACCGAATTCTCCAGATTAAAACCTCAATGGAGTCCATCACATTCACAGAGAATTAATCCCCACTCCTTCTCCACCCTCACCTCAGCCACTCAGCGTCGGCCACAGCTGCCTTTATTCAGAGCCTCCGACTCCTCCCACTCTGATGGGCTTGGGTCAACCCAAAGTGCACTCCCGGGCTTTTGGCAAGACACTCTCCACGTACATCCTCTGGTCTCACTTCAAGGAGCCCTTCTCCAACTATTCCATTTCATTAGGGACGCTGTTGATCTGGGGGGTTTGGTTTGGTTTTAATTCCTACATCCTGTTACACTGTCTTTTTAGCACTTCATATTTTGTGACTGTTAATCTACTAGCTTGTGGTCGGCTTCTGCTATTAAGACTCTAAGCTCCAAGACGGCAAGAACTCCATCGTGCTCACCACTGTATACCCAGCACCCGGCCAGATATGCAGAAGGCACTCCCAAGACACTTCAGGGAATAACAGAAGAAAGAAATGCTCCACTCTTAAATTTACCAGCTCTTCTCTGCCAGTTTCTACATGCTAGATGTATAGAACCCTTATATTTTCATTTGTTAAAGGTATTCCAACCAAAATCTAATTTGTTGTTTTCCAAAATCAGTCTTAATCAGTTTGAATTTTCTTTGAATACACATCAAAGAATAAGTATCTATTTATACTACTCTGAGATTTTGGGATTTGATAATATAAATAGGGTCTCTAAAATAAGACAAAATGTCCAAATGAAATGTTAGTTTATCAAAATACACTTCATGTTTTCCTTACAGACATTTTCCAGTATCAGTTTAGAGCCAATTAAATTTTGAAATCTGTAATAATCATTTCCAAGGGCTATGGTACAAGTGCCTTATAGTATCTAAGACAAAAAATATTAAAATATTTTAATATTTATTAAAATGTTTAATATTTTATTTTAGTATGTAAAAAAAAATTACAGTTTTTAGTAGAGAAGAGTCAACCTAATGGAGAACCCAAGACACTTCATTATAATGATTAATATATCATTAATAAATTAATTTAAAAAATTAGTAACATTGAAGGGTGTTACAGGGACAACTCAGGGTGAATGCCCAACCCACAAAGATGCCTCCTTCTCTAGGAACTGCCCTCATTTATTTTTTTAAACATTTTTAAAAAATTTAAGCATTAAAAAAAAATTTAAGTATGGTTAATTTACAATGTTATGTTAGTTTCGGGTATACAGCAAAGCGATTCAGTTATATATACATATATTTTTTCAGATTCTTTTCCATTATAGGTTATTACAGGATATTGAATATAGTTCCCTGTGCTATACAGTAGGTTCTTGTTGGTAATCTATTTTATATATAGATAGTACTGTGTATATGTTAATCCCAAACTCCTAATTTATCTCCACCCCACCCCGTTCTTCCCATTTGGTAACCCTAAGTTTGTTTCTATGTCTGTGAGTCTATTTCTGTTTTGTAAATAAGTTCATTTACATCATTTTAGATTCCACATGTAAGTGATATCATATGATACTTGTCTCTCTCTGTCTGACTTAATTCACTTAATAGAATAATCTCTAGGTCCATCCATGTTGCTGCAAATGTCATTATTTCATTCTTTTTTATGGCTGAGTAATATTCCCTTGTATATATGTACCACACCTTCTTTATCCATTCCTTTGTCAGTGGACATTTAGGTGGCTTCCATGTCTTGGCTGTCGTAAATAGTGCTGCTATGAACATAAGGGTGCATGTGTCTTTTTGAATTAAGAGTTTTCTCTGGGTATATGCCCAAGAGTAGGCTTGCAGGATGCCCTCATTTATAAGTGGGGTCCCCCAGCCAAAGTCAAGTCTGTGAGAAACTCTCCACGGGGAAGCTGGGATTTTGAACTGAGAGAGACACAATAAGAGTGACGGGCAGCTGAGTCCCTTTCAATGTCGATACTCTTAGGTGCTGCACAAATGCTGTGGAAGGACCCCAGAGGGGGCTGGCTCCTGCCTGCTAGCCACAGCCTAGGGTTTTCTTTAACACTTCCAGGAATTCTACAAGATTTCCAAGCATATGTCCAATAATTCCCCAATGTTTTCTTTTGTATTTAATCTCAATGTGATTGTTTTATTCCCACAGCCAAATGAATTTTAACTGGTATAGCCTCCCCAACAAGACTGTTAGAAATTAGTTGGAGTGATCCAGCCAAACACCTTATCAATCACGTGGACCAAATGGTAGCTAACAGTTTTCGAGTCTATGAGATACTGTATATTGTTTTCAAACTGTATTTTTAAATGTTCTTTCCAATTTAGATTTTTACTAAGCTAAACAAGCTCATCAAACATCTCAATTATCAAGTTTTATCATATACATTTATACACAAAGAACATTGTCTTCGAAGTCACCCACTAGTGTTTCTGCGAGATACATAAATAAAGTGTAGGAGAGGGGAGGGTTTTTCAGACTACATGGAGGGGTAACAGAACATTACACATTAGAGACGATACCGTGATCCTAAGGCAACATAATTTTCAGACTGGAATTTATGGACCTGATCAAAATATGTAAGTTATATACTGAGAAATGAACACTGCAAGTCTGGTGCTGCGAATCCCCATGGGGACAGGAGTGAAATGGGATTTTTCTCCAAAATCTTCTGTGTCACTTAAAGCTCCTGATCTTTCTACCACTGGATTTTATTTATATTTCAGGGAGCTTAATGATGTAATGACTTAGGGATCCAGTATCTGCTTTTCTATATTAAAACTCAATCTTACTTTAGTATTTTTCAGAGCTACAGAAACAGATTTTTGTTTTTATTTAAGGCCAAATAGAAGAAAACAAACTTTTGCAAAGTATGTACTCAAAAAAAAAAAAAAAGTACATGATTACTTTCCATTTCCAGGCTCAGTAATCTCCTATTGAGTTTACTTTCTACTAAATAAATAATAGGAGAATGGAGCTAAAGGACACAGCTTAAAAACTGTTTCAAACCAAACTGGACAAAGTCTTGCGAAAACTTCAAGACCTCCAAGAAATCAGCTTCTGAGCAAACTATCAGACTCACAGATTTTAAAACACAGTAACTGCTGTACTGACATTTTAGATGTAATTTTACTGTGATTTTTTGTTGTTGTTTCAGAGTAAGCTTCTGTTGTGATAAAACAGTAGGAGCAGAAGGCTTTTCCCAGCGTTTTTCTTTCCTAGAAATACTTACTTGTCTAAGAAAAATAACATTATCACTTTGGGAAAGATAGCTAAAAACATTTTTCATCACAGACTATATTTTTGCAAGAGAAATAAAACCACAACTTCAGTGAGTTTTTATGTTCATCTTTCCTCTTATCCAAAGAGAGAGATGCTTTGGATTGAAGTAATTATACAGAACATGAAGAAGAAGTAAACTATCAGGAGATAAGGCTAGGAAAAGAAACAGTCAAGATAATTCCATTATGCCCCCTGTTAACCTATATGCCTGTTAACATCTTTTCTATTATTATTTTCTTTATCCAATACGGGAGTATAATTTAAAATTAACGCATTCAGTAAATTACATACCCTGGACTCAGCATCGTCTTCTTCTTCATCAGGATTATAAGCTTCTGCACATACTATAAAAATAAAAATGGACATTTTAAAGATTCCTTCACCAAGCAACATGCTACAATAAATATATCTTGAAAAATTAGTGAACAAAAAGAGGGCTCTGGTGTAAAAAACCATTAATTCACCTCATCCAGGGCAAGCAGTCTACCCCCCAAAGCCAGTTTGCTACTGCAATTTATAAGGAATTTACTAAAATATAAAGCTGCACTTTAAGACACTGATAACTGCTTCCTTTCTCTTATTCAGAGAAACATAGCTAACCTCTTTCATCTTCATTTCCAAGCTACAGAAATGCATAAGATCAAAAAATTACCTGAAAGAACACACACAAAGTCTAAGTCTGCTTTGAAATGATCAATTTAATCAAGCAGTTATGAGTAACTTTCATAAATTATCATAACTCAATCTTCCAGGAACAAATGCTATTAATATTTTGCATATTCCTTTCCAGTCTTTATTCTGAGCTGAGTTCATACCGCATCCACAATTTTAAAACCTGCTGTTTCATTTAACACTTAAGAATTCTGTATGTCATTAGAAACATTTTGTAAATATTGTTTTAAGGATTGCTAACTAGTTACCATAAGCTATAATTTACCACACCCCTAATGCTAGACACGAAGCTGGCTTCTGTTAAAACAACCTTGCAATAAACATCTTCATGCATAAACATTTGTCTACATTTCAGATTATGCTGTGGAATTATTCCCAAATGTTATTTTGGGGGCTAAAAGGTATGACAACTTTTAAGGCATATTTATCACCATGTTTCCTCCCAATGGGATTATACCCATCCAGTGTCCTATAAGCAATGTGTAAGGAGACTCCTCTAAATGGTACCGCAGACTTAGATATTAATGCTCAAACTCTCTGCCAATTTAAATGAAAAAAATATCTAAATTTTTAAGTATTACTGAATTTGAACAATGTTCAAATGATTGTAAGCTGACTGTATTTCCTCTTTTGTCCCTATGTCTGAGGCATTTATTTTTGTATTTGGTTTTCTTTTTGACTTATACCAGTTTCTCAATACCACTTTGTCATATTTCTTATAATCATTTTATCCAGTTTGATTTTTTTTTTGGCCACACCACGTGCCTTTCAAGATCTTAGGTACCTGACCAACAAGGATTGATCCAGGACCATGACAGTGAAAGCACGGAGTCCTCACCAGGGGACGACCAGGGAATTCCCTCCAGTTTGCTTTTTAACTATAATTACCAATTTTTTTTTTGTCTTTGTTTTTCTGATCAATTATGCATGCTGTCTGTTTTTAATGTAATGACATCAGCGAAGAAAATTCCCCAATATGATTTAAACCCAATGTTAAACATCACAAAAGTACCACTGCTTTTGAGTTTGGTATTTGTAAATCTTCTTTATTTGCAAATCTACAGATCTGTCACTTCTCTTCTTTCAGTTTGTAAAGGTAGACCTTTTTACATTTACCCTTTAATCTGTGTGGACTTGACTCTGGCATGGATGTAGAAGTAAGAGCAGAGGACAGGTGAAAGGCTGACAAATGTCTTTCCAGGGGCCTCAGGATGGTCTCAGGAGTATTGCCATCTTTAGCTCAACGACTGTCATTACTATTACAAAACCTGCCAGTAGCTTTCTTTTCTCCAGGCATTGCTCTATACACCTAAGCCAGTGAGTGCTTCTTAACCAGGGCTTATTCTGCCCCCCATGATGACATTTAGGCAATGTCTGGAGACATTTTGGTTGTCACAGTTGTGGGACGTTAAGAGGAAGCTGCTGGGGGAGGCTAGGGATGCTGCTAGACACCCCGCCCCGCACAGTACAGCTCCCTCCCCCCCTCTCCCCAAGAAAGAATGACCTGGTCCAAAATGTCAACAGTGCTGAAGCTGAGAAACCCTGACCTGGTGTACATTTTCCCCTTCAATCTCGCAACAACCCCAAGATAGATGTCATATCACCACCTGGCAGATGAAAGAACAGGGCACAGTTACGTATCTTGGCCAACATTACACAACATCGTACATCATCTTGTAGCACCACAGGACTTGACCCTAGGGCTGTCTGGCTGACTCCAAAGGCCTTGTTCTTTTCTTTTTCTTAATGTTTTAGAAAGCGGCTTTATTGAGATATAATTCACATGCCATACAATTCGCCCATGAAAAGCGTGCATTCAATGCGCTTTGGTATACCACATTATAACTTTTAAAAACTGTGGCAGAATATATATAACACAAAATTTGCCATTTTTAAGTATATAATTCAGTGGCATTAAGTACATGCACAATGTTGTATAACCACCACCACTATTTATATCCAAAACTTTTTCATTACCCTAAGCAAAAACTCTGAAACCATAAGGCAACAACTCCCCATTCCTCCTGTCCCCCACCCCTGGTAACCTCTAATCTTCTTTCAGACTCTATGAATTTGACTATTCTAGGTACCTCACGTAAGTGGAATCATATAATATTTGTCCTTTGTGGCTGGCTTATTTCATTTAGCATGATGGCTTCCAGGTTCATCCATGTTGTAGCAGGCATTAGAATCTCATTCCTTTTTATGCAAAGGCCTTGTCCTTAACCCCTGTTCTGTGCATGACGGCTTTGGTGAATTCACCAGCTCAATGCCTGGACATCAGCGTTCCGCCTCAGAAACCTAACAGAAGGGGACCGTCTTCCCGGGACAGGCTCCCATTAAAGAACCTCACTGACGCATATCACCAGAATGGCAGCTTAGTAACTAACTTCCCGAATCAGTATGGAGTCAGCGTGACCAGCCAGCTCTGTCCCTGCAGGAAGACCACAGGAGAAGCCAAATCACAATTAAAAGGTTCCTTGGTGAGAAGGAGATGGGAGGAAGAGAGAGTCTGTCAAATAAACTGACTATTGAATGCGTCAGTCTGGGACAGCCCAAGGCATCCATACACAGTACACATGGTCCTGCTCCTGTGGCCCAGACTCTTGAACTGTGTTGCTGCAACTTTCCTAAAAGCAGGACAGCATCTACCTCTAAAGCTTGGCTCCGTAACTTTCTGTTTCCATGTTTGACCAACCTCACTGGCAGGACTGACACACAATTTGCAGGGCTCAGTGCAAAATGAAAATATACGCCCGTTTTCAAAAGTTAAGATTTTTAAGAGGGCAAGAGCAGAACACTAAACCAAATTAGAGGCCCTTGTGAGGGGGGGGTCCGCGAAGTCAACCACTGTCATAGGATCTACATGTTCAGTGAGGTGATAGCGTCGATAGGATACTATGTTCTTCGAGGTAACCTGTTATATAGAGCCTTGATCCATTAGTGTTGAGCTTAAGTTTTAATTCACAGAATGAAATCTTAATCCTCTAATTTCTAAGTTTCAAGCCCCTAAATGCTGACGAAAAATCATCACTAGTAAGAATCTATTTTCTTTCTAAATAACTTATCAATTGCCCCAGTATTATTTATTACTTAACACCCTTCTGATCTGTGATACCTACCTTATCACATGTTTGTTTATTTCTGGGCTATCCATTTCATTGAACCATTTATTGTGCCAATATTACAAGGTTTAGTTCTTGGCACTGATGTGCAATTGTTTCACTATATTAAAATTCACCTACTGCCACCTCCTACACCCAAATCAAAATACAGCACCTGCAGTTTTGTGCACAGCCATGGTGGCTCACACCTCCTTATCTTCACTGACACAGTCTCCTCCTCTCCAAGCCATCCCTTCTCTCCAGCCCCAACTAAAAAGTCAGATTAAGAGTCACCTGTTGACCTCTCACCTACACAGGGCTAACTCAGGATACCCCACTGCTGTGCTCCCTTTGCACTGTCCCTAGAGTGTGGGCACAGCTCATTACCATCACCTACCACACTTGACTCTACCAAAGACATTACCACCTGTTGCCCCTTCAGGCTGGAACTGCAGCCCTTCAGGGACTGACTGTGTGCTTTGTTCATTTCTGTATTTCCCTGGCACTGACCTGGCACACTGCCTGGCTCAATGCATTTTTTTGAATGAATGACTGATTGATGAACAAATAAGCTTGACAGTCCTTGAAGGCAAACGCAATGTCTCTTTTAAACATCTCCCAGTAGTCTACCTGTATTATACACTCTCAAACAAACACACGTAGAATGAATGAATGAATGAATAAAAAGTTGTTCTTTTTTGTTAAAATATCCTACACCATATGTCCAAAAAAATGGGGACAGAGAGGTTGAGTGAAAATGAGGACCTTTTGTCTTGTTCACCAAGGGGCCAAGCACAGAGATTAGGAGTTCAGTAAATATCTATACAAGGAATGAATGGATGAAAGACTACGTCTAGATGGACCCTCAAACCAAAGCCTCCAGATAACCTGAGCTGCCTCGAATGTTTTTCTGAATTGCACCCCCTCCCTCCTGGGCAATCTGAAATTGAGCTGAAGCTATATATTTTATTCTTTGTTTGGCAATTACACAGTAATGAAGAGCAGAGTCTTTTTCTTTATGTGAACCCTACATTGAGATTTTCCTGTCATGTTGTGCATATATGTATTTCGATAATACATTAGTCATCTAGAATGCTCCAAGAATTTAAGTAGTTTCCCACATTGCAGACAGTGTAATGTGCACTGGTGCAGCCAGACAACTGTAGACAAGGGACAAGGGTTTTTTTCCTCCTGGTGCCAAATACACGTTGTCTTTTCCAACACCATTTCTCCAACTCTCTGACACCAACCGAATGTCCAACAATTCAATTCAATTCTGACACTACCTACCCGCAGTTAGCATCAGATCCCACACGTTAAAGGGCTCAGTCCCACAAGAGTGCCCCCACTTCAGACACCAATCACAGTTCCCAAGCTACCCATACTTCTGACCGACCAGCTGTAAACTGGGGGTTCCCACGACACCCTCCTCAGGTTTGATAATTCACTAGAATGACTCACAGAACTCAGGAAGTGCTTTCCTTACTCTTACTGGTTTATTATAAAGGATACAACTCAAGTACAGCCAAATGGATAAGATGCACAGAGCAAGGTATAGTGGGAGGGGG